TTAATTAATTTTAATTAGTATCAAATTAATCATTTAATTAATTAATTTCCTCTAATCTTGGTCAAAAGTCAAAATTATTTTTTTCTTTTTTCATTTTAATTTCACTCAAAAGTTTCATGTTTAAGCACTTTAATCCAAAAGTTTCAAACCTTTTCAAATCAGTCCTCTATTTTAATCAAATCAGTCCCTTTAGACTTTACTTGTGTTCATTGTGCATGTATGTCTTTGATTTCGTCCATTTTAGTCCACAATGTTAAAAATGTTGCAATTTGGTTTATCTCTTTTTCAAGCTTGTCTATTAAGATTCAAACATAAACATGATGAATAAGTTGAATCAAAACCCTCAATGTTAAAGTCTGCAACCGTGTTTAAACGGAGGATTGTGAGGTACGCGTATGCCTTTCCTCACTCCTAATCGAATCCCCAAACTCCGATCTCTGCACATACCTGTTTTAGGTGACTTGTCTCACCTTATAATTTGGACGAGTGGTGGCTCTTTTTTTTTTTATATTTTTCACACTTAATTTTTCATTTATTTTGAAAAAAAATCTTAAGTGTTCGTCAACAAATACTAGATTGTACTTAATTTTACTTGAAAATGAAGAAAAATAGGGAAGAAAAGAAAAAAAAAAGGAAAAAATAGTAGATCCTACCTAATCATACTTAGATCAGGTTAAAACATTCACGAAATGTCTCTAAAAAATGCCTCATATCAAAAGAAACGTGTAGTTGTAACTAGAGAAGCAAAACAGAAGCGAAAAGAGCAAGAAAGAAACAAATTAAAGATAGTTCTGATGGAGAAGGAGAGAAGACATGGTGTATGAAGAGTTAAGGCAACAATTCAATCGAGAAATCTAACCGAAACTAGTGATAAGCGTGGTGAGCCCCAAACGGTGATACATCAATCAGCTACAAGATTCCCACTTTCGGACAAAACAAATGACCGAAAAAAATAAAGGCTCATCTCCCCATTTATTTAGTCAAGCTCATTGACCGAAACAAAGAGCAAAGACTGCAACTTTGACCAACTCCCATTAAATCATAGCCACGAAAGTTTTTTTCGGTCAATAAGACTGACCGAAAAAAGAGCAAAACACGTGAAAGCCTACAACCCTCACTGGCTTCAATCGCATCATAAAAGGGGTTTGTTTTGGTCAAAACTTCTAACTGAAAAAAAGAGTGAAACATGTGAAAGCCTGCAGCTTTGACCAGCTTAGGTCACATCATAACCAGGGGGTTTTGTTCGGTCAAAATCTATGACCGAACAAAGGAGGGAAAACGTGAGCCCTTGGATTTCCATCAAATCATCACCATCGCCATTTTTTTGGTCAATATGCGTGACCGAAATGTGTATGTAATAAAATTTTTTAGTAATAATAATTTTGTGTGATTTTTTTCTTTTAATTCGGTTAGTATGATTGACTGAATTTTTTTCAATCAAGTATACTGACCGAACTAAACATGGCAGTAACTCCCACCCCTTTAGTTCGGTTGATATGCTTAACCGAAATATTTTTGACCGAATAAATCGTTGAACATGGTGTAAAACGGACATTTTTGTTGTTGGATCAGTCATTATGACTAAAATATTGTTTTTTTCAGTCAAGATTTTTGCTTGATCGAAATATTATGTTCGAAAAGCAAGTTTTTCTAGTAGTGTTCATTTGTAAAGTTTTAAGTTTGACAATTAATAAATATATTTATAGTGATGGGATAAATGAACAGATAATTGTGAAAGTTTAATTAATTCTCATAAATAATTATTTATCATCATATCTAGTTTAATATATAGATTTTATGGTATTGTGTTCTCCAATAAGCATATTAAGTGTCTATTTTTAAATAAAATAAACATATTTGCAATTGCTAATGAACTATTTATAAAAACTAATTAGCCATTTAAAGAAAACATAATTGTTATTTTCTATTAATTATATAAAAGTGTAGAAAATTTTCACAATATATATATATATCAAATGTGAACTAAGGATTTTTAAAAATTACAGTTTTAATTATTCATCAAGATGTACCAAAACAAATTAAAATTGTATAAGATAACTAAATTATTGATCTTACTCGTATTGATATTTTATTCCACATGAAGTTATCTATTTTTATACATGAGTTTTAGCATATAAATTTTATAATTTAACTATTCAAATTCTAAGTCTATAAATAAGTTTTGTGGAATTACAAGTTGATATAACTTGTAATTTAAGATTAAATAGTTAGATGTATAATAAATTTGTTGGCAATTAATTACCTTCAAGAAATTATCAAGGATGTTTATTGACATATAATTTAAGATTAAATAGTTAGATATATAATAAATTTTATTAGCAATTAATTACCTTTATAAAATTATCATGGATGTTTATTGTGTATATTGGTGATAACTTAATTGTTGCATTATTTTGAGTATTTGAAATTTAAAATCTCAAATAAAAAGATATTTGAAAATGTTTTATGAATTTTAATATTTGTATATCTTGATTCATTTAAGATATTAATAACAATTTTATATAATTTTCTTCTAGTATTAAATAATAGAACCAATTAATATTGAAGGTCTTCTTGAAAGTTTTAGAGTTCTCTAAATTCAAATATTGTAAGTATTAAAAAATTACTATTATAAAAAATTACAAAAAATATGATTGAAAGGGATTATAGAACTTTATTTATGGATGAAAATCGTAATAAGATTTTATGATTAATATAAGTAATATTAAGAGTTCATTTATTAAGGATTAATGACTTTTGTTATAAGTTTTTTTTGAGATATTAAGAAATTTTGTTTTAGTGGAAGATTAATTAATTTTTCAATAAAGATTTTGGAGTATTACATTATTTATAAACAATTATTTCAATAGAAGTTTATGAGTTGATATGAATGGCACAACCAAAGTAGGTGATTTATTAAGATTCACATGTTAAGTAGCATATAAGGATTCTAGAATGCTACCTTAGGTAAGTATTCTAGTGGGAATCTAGGAATTGATATAATGATACTGTCAAAGTGAGTTATTCATAAAAATTTACAAAATTTTCAATAAGAATTATGTAATATTTAATTATTAAAATTAGTGTATATGATCATTTGCACAAAATAATGATTGTATATATTTACTAAAAGAAGTGTGGGTCTTTGTAAAGGGTTCTTATTTTGGATTCACAGGGAATTTTCTACCAAAGGTGATTGTTTTCTATAGGACTATGCTTACTAATTCACTTGTAATTGAAATTTTTAAGTTTCAATAAAATTTTATACCCATTAATCTAATCACATTGCCCATGTCATTTAAAGTTAATTGGTCAATCAAGAAGATCAGAAAATTAACTATTAAAGATAAAGAATAAAATTGTTATTTTCATATTAGTGTATGTAATATTCAGTCCAAAGGTAATTATTATATGCATTAACTAGAAGTAATTAAAGCTAGAGCAATTGGTAATAATTATAAGTTTATATATAAATTTGCTAAGAAGTGGTTTTCTTACTAATTAACTTGTTAAGGTTTAATTTTATAAATTTATTTAATCTAACATAAAGATAGTCATGAAATAACAAGATTGTATCTTATACCCCTGTGAGAATATTACCTGTTCTCTATTGCTAGACGTGGTTCTTTTTACTATTCATATTCAGAGTACAGAAGTAATTGATTCAAATATTGTTATTTTCTATTTTTTAATTTATGAATATGAAAATTTATCTTAGATAATGATGCATAGACTAAATAAATGGGAGTTTATTTATAAATTATACAAATATAAAGTTAAAAGAGTATTATGCAATATGCTAAGGTATAAAATTTATTTTTAAAAAGCACTTTTATAGAGGCAAAGGTTTATAATTAAAATTATAATACCATTGTGAGTATAATGTTAATTTGTGCATTACTGGTGTGATTTGTACCTTGAACGCAGCAAATAAAAAAGATCCTCCAATAACCGAACAACTTCCATGGAGATTGGAGGCTGCTGCCACAATAAGGCTTGCACCCTTCTCTGCAATGCATGCCAACCCACATGCCAGAAAGACAAATTTTAAATTCTTCTTTAATACTTTGTCTATAGGTTTTAATAGACTCATTCAAGATGCCGAAATAAAGCAAAAAAAAAAATATATATATATATATATATATCAACATATCATAATCAAATTTACAAAAGTCCAATCTCTAGCAATGCAATGGAATATGTTCTCTTTCTCCATCAAAAGTCTTGTGGGTTTAATATGATTTTGCAAATTTTGCTGTCATAACTTTACATACGAATTAATTCTTCTGCATTTGTTGTTGATCTTACAGTCATTATTCTTTCTACCTTTTAAATATGCTATAACAATAAAAACAGCATAATGATAAGCATAAACAGAACATAATAAAGTTACCATCATGATCTATATAATGAAATGAGTAAACTTACATTTACAGAAAATTTAAACTAGATCAAAAAATGTTACCATCAAGCATGGAATTCCAAATAAATACTGCTTTAAATGCCAAAATCTTCTAGTTCCAAATAAAATAAATGATTCTAATAGGATACCGATGAGCTTTCTTGCTCAATGTTAGCTTCCTTATTGTTGAGTGAGAATCTCAAATCGATCAACAAGGTAGAAACTTGTGAACTTAAATACAATATGTGCAACTGCCAAACTCAGAATACAAAAATGAAATGGCAGATCAACTAATCTTTGTCTCTTTCAAAGCATAAAAGCAGAGGTGATAAGGTCACAAGCGAGCGTAGGAATAAATTGAGTTGCTCTCTCCAAAAGGAAAATTTGGGACAAAGGCTTGCTGATCAAACCTCAAAACGTTGGGAGCCTGGGATAGCAACTTTCTAAGCTGCAGCAATCAAACTTTTTTCGTTTGAAGGAGGCTCAAGCTTCTCATAACAAAAGGTACCCCTTTGATACTTGGGCTTCTGCAAGAAAAAAAGAATATTTACTTGATAAGAATAGCATTCCAGTTAAAATATCTGATATCCTAAACAATATTGGGTGAAAAAAAACAACTACTAGTATCATTATTACCGTTTGCTTGACTCAGCCAAGTTGATAAAAACTTCCAATTCAAGTTAGAAACTCTTGCAGAAGAGCATGCTTGAGCTTGACAAAATCAGATCACAAGCTTGTCAGTTGTCATTATCGTCATCCCAATTATAGCTTGACAAAGGAAGAACCATTTCTTAAAAAATGCAAAGAGGGAAAACTTACAAGGTATGTAGAGGACTAAAATGTATTACTTTTGTTATTTGCATTTGAAGCACAATTTAGTTACAAGCTTTATAATATCTCTACAGATTATAACCCTTCCTCTTCCAGTTTCAAGAAAAATCCCATTTGAATGTGCTGTTCTGTACACCCCTCCAATTTCTTCAAAATGGAAAGAAAGAAAAAATAAATATATATGCAAGATTTTGCAAGAATTTACTACAGATTTTTCTTTTTAATGTTTCGGTAAGTTATTTACCACATAGATGAGAGTCAGACGGGAAAACAATAAAAATTTTAAAATGCCTTAATATTATATTAATAAAATTTGTTACAAAAGAGCTTATTTAAAGTGCTTGGGGTAGCAACTTTGTAATTTCATTTCCAATGAAAGGAGGATTAAACTTCTTATAACAAAACAAATCCATTTGCAGGGAAAAAGAAACCTTATTTCTTGATAATAAAAAGTAGTTCAGTTAATATATCTAATGCCTTAAAATCATCATTACCCTTTTTTAACTAACTCAGCCTCGCAGAAAGAAACTTGCAGATTTGAAATGCACAATAAGTCTTCCTTCCAGCTGGAAGAAACTCTTGCAGAAGAGCATGCTTTGAGCAAGAAAGAATCAGATTACAAGCTTGTCAGTTGTCAATATTTTCATATCAATTCTTAGCCTAAATGACAAAAAACAAGTTCTCAAAAATGTAAAGAGAGAAATCATACGAGGTGTCTACAAGACTAATTTGTATTGATTTTGTTATTTGCATTTCAAGCACAACTCTGCTGCAAGCTTGACAATATCTCCATAGATTATAACTTTTTCCAATTCCAGATTGTAGAAAAATCCCTTTAGAATGTCTTGCTCTGTTGCCTCCTCCTCCAATTTATTTAGAATAGAAAGAAAGAAAAAATAAATGAGGTACTTGAAGTTAAGAAAAGGATTCCAACTTCCAGAAAGCAATCATATCTTAGAACATACCTTTCCCGCAAGCATCGACCTTTTCATAATCAAATCTACTAAAGGCTTCAGCATAACCCTTCTTCTATGATGCCTTTTCTTGAAATCAAGATTGGAGCACTGCATAGAGGATAAAACCATTTTCTTTTAACCAACACCTAAAAGGTAAGGTGATTCTTCTAATGTCAGAATAGCACCAACCAAGATTGAAACTAGCATCAAGGGTCCAGGATATGCAACATTAATTGTTCTAAGAGAATAGAGGCATATGCGAAAAAGAAATGTCTGGAATACAGTTCAAGTGATCCATCATCAGATTTGAAATAAACCAACTCATCAAATAGGGTAGATTTAAGCATGAAACTTAGAATTTGCATGGATTTCTCTTTCAATAACCATCCCTCATTTCACAAGGCATGGTTGGATTGTGTTAATGTGCTGAAGTCTACAAGACACTGCATCAAACTGCTTTCTCATGTCAAGAGCCACTTCAAGTATATCAGATTGGACAAAATCCTCTTACTCAAACCATACAATGTCCATAAAAGATTCTAACATTTATATTCAGGAACCCCTACTGTCAATTTTCTTCCAGCAAATGAACCCACAATTATGACATGAAATGCTTTATCACTTCAATTACAATGTATTATAAAATGAATGCCTTTTATTCACATCATAACACAAAGCCAATTGTATATACAAGATTTTGCATGAATTCACCACAGCTAAGCATAACTCAAAGCATGGGAGAAAATAAAATTGAATGCAATTGGAAAAACAAGAAAATTTGCAACTTCCAGAAAGTAAGCCTATCTAACAACATACCTTCTTTCCCAAGCACCAACCTATTTATGATTGAATCCACTAAGGCTTCTCCACAGCACTTCTTTTATCATGCCTTTCTTGAAATGATCTACCCACAGCATAGAGCACATAACTATTTTTTTTAAACAACATCTAAAAGGTAAATTAAATTAGAACTAGTCCAAGGAGTTTGATTACCACACAACCTTTCAGTGGAACTATCAATGAATACTTGATTCCAATCAAGAACTGGTGCTAGCATCTACCCAAAAAATGGTAATTTCAGATTTTTTTTTCCTAATTGAAACAATATTAACAAAAAGAGGGATATAACTAAAACATTTATATTGAATCCAATGAAACAATTCTTAGTGGAATTAAAACTTACAGCAAAAGATGAACTGAAAGGGTTGACATGTTGTTGACTCCTATACTAAGCAGCTATTTATATATTGAGCAGTCAATGAGTCTTCACAAAATACAAGAATGGCAACTTTTCAATCTCCAAAAAACCAACATCTTGTCAATCGACACAAATGTTAAGCTTCAGAAATACAAAGATCTTCTGTGTCTTGTGCTTTAGGCTGCAGAAGGAAGAATAATCCTTAGTAGTTTTCTTGATTACTGCATAACCTTTCAACTATGATTTTTTATTGGCCATTTCTCTATCATTTACCATCAATATCTTGAACCAAAACATATAAAGAACTTATAGCATTAACAAAAATATAAAAAAGAAGAGAAAACACTAAAACCAGCATTACCTTTTATTTAGATTTGAATTCATTTGACTGTCATCTTGTCTGAAGCTAAAACGAAAGAAGAGATTAATTAGATTAGCAAATTTCCAAGTTTCTAACAACAACAGGGTGAAAATAAATTTAATTACAAAAAAAAAAAAAAAAACTGTGAATGATTATGATGGATTATTTTTTTTAAGTAATACCATAAACAAAGTTTTTATTTTGTATAAACTTGTGTGGCTTTCATTGTCCTGAAAAGAAAGAATAAGAGTAAGTTCTAAGATTTAGTAAGGTAAAATATATTCCTAAATTAATTCTTAAAAGATAAATATTCATCTAAAAAATTTTGAGAATAGCTAAGTAGTACCCCAACTTCAATGTAAGGGATGCGAGCTATGAGTGGCCAATAGTCTCCTTTCTCCTCCGAGCATTGTCTTTCTAGCAGCGGGCAGTTTTCAATCCAAAGTTTTTTAAGCAAGGGAGGCAGGCCTTCCTTTGGCAAGGACTGCAAGTCGGGGCAATTCTCAATGTATAATTCTTGAAGTGAGGGAGGCAGGCGTCCCTTTGGCAACGACTGCAGCTTTGTGCAATCTTTGATTGCTAAATCTTGAAGAGAGTTGAGGTTTTGAAGGAGCCCCTTTGGCAATGACCGCAGCTTTGGGCAATCCTCGATTGTTAAATGTTGAAGAGAGTTGAGGTTTTGAAGGAGCCCCTTTGGCAACGACAGCAGCTTTGGGCAATCCTTGATTGTTAAATCTTGAAGAGAGTTGAGGTTTTGAAGGAGCCCTTTAGCTATGGATTTCATATTTTCAACCTTACCCACCACAAGTCTGGTTAGAGAAGTGGGAAGCACATCAGGATCAGGACATATCCAATACATCTCCAACGATAGAAGAAAGGTGAGGCTGTTAAGGCCCCATTCCTGTATCGGCTTCTTCATATTCTTGCAATCAATTATAAGACTTTCAAGGTTTAGGGGAAAACCACGATCTAGAATGGATGCAATCCCTGGACAGTTGTCAATTACAAGATCTGTTAGGTTTGGAAACAAACCAGCCTCTGGAATGGACTCAATCCCTACACACCCATAAATTTCAAGCCTTGTTAAGTTCGGCGGCAAACCACCATCTGAAATGCACTTGATCCCTGGACAATTACTTATATATAATCTATCAAGAGACGTGAGGTCGTGCATCTTTTTGGGTAAAGACTTAAGAATCCTGCAATTTGATATGGATAACTTTTGAAGATTGGAGATGGACAAGGAAAATGACTCCAAACTATCACAATCAAATATCCATAAAGAAGTGGGCCCATGCATGTCCTCAAAACTTAAACTTTTCATATCACCTCCACAAATTCTTATCTTTTCAAGTCCCGTACAAGACTGCAGCATCCTTTGTGGGAGAGACTTCAGTTGGTCACAATTTGTGATATAAAGCCTTTTAAAAGAATTGGGTAAATGACTACTCGGAAAAGATTCCAGACAAGGACACCTAGCAATTTCTAATTTTTCAAGATGCGACCCTTGAGATGCATCACCATTATTCATGAATATTTCTTCTGGTAGAGACTCTAGCTTTTCACATTCCCAAATTTTCAAGACTTTAAGCATGGTGGGTAACCTCCCTCCTGGAAACATTCGGAGAGCAGGACATCCACTAATATATAGTACTTCAAGTCGTGGCAACATCATTATCTGACCAGGCAAGGAATCCAACGCTTCACAATTATGTATTCTCAAAGTTTGAATGTTGTTAGGTAGAAGGCCTTGATCTTTCCCTGTTAACAATACAAGAACCGGACACTCCCTGACTATTATCTCCTCAAGACATGCAAGGTTTAGGATATTGACTCCCTCTTCCCACAAACAAGTAAGTTCATTGCAAGACTCAATCACTATGTCTTCGAGAGCTATCATCGACTCAACAAAACTCTTGGATAGGCAAATCAGTTTAGAAATTTTTTTTATACTCAATGTTTTGAGTGAGGTGAGATCAACCATACTTCTCAATACTACATCACTACATTCTCCTATATGCAATTTTTCAAGTGATGGAAGGCTCACCGAGGACAATATCAATTCTAGACATCTAACAATGTTCAACTTTTTAAGAGAAGGGATGCATTTCGGTAACTTTCCTACCAGCCTGGGGCAGTCTTGCAAATCCAAACTCTCCAATGCTGGAAAAGTAGAAGCTAAAGAAGAATTGTCCCTATCAAACTCAATTTTCATAATATTTAAGGCATCCATGCCTGCACAAAGAAAGGCAGCAAAATTGATTAAAATATATATATATATATATATATATAAACAAGCCACAATTACTTAAAAAATCAAGAGTATTTGTACACATGCCTGTGATGATCAATTGTTTGAGCTGGGGTAGTTGCCCAAGTGATGGTAATGAAGTGCTTTTACAATTGCATAGCACCAAGTGCTCTAGGTTGGAAAATGATGGATCACCTATCCAAGATGGGAATTCCAACCCACCAAAACAATTGATTCTCAATCGTTTCAAACCCTGATTAGGTTTTAACCATCTGAGGACTTGCATTTCAGTGCCTTGCTTTCGGTTGTCATGGAAATCAGAACACCATTCCAAGGATAAGTCATCCAATCCCTCAATCTCGTACAAATTGGCCTCCTTTGCGTCATTAGCATCCAAAACATTTTGCAAATCCAAAATGGAAAGCTGGCCTCGAAGACATGACAAGTTCTTCAAATCTTTTAGTCTTGGTCCTCTAGCATTTCCAACAATAAATTTTGACAATGTCACAAGATTAGTCAAATTACTGATTTCTGATGGGATCTCTTTTAAAGATGGTGTCATAACCATATCAAGATGTTGGAGATCAAGTAGATTTCCAATGGTTGCAGGTAACTTGGAAAACTCTCTGCAACGACTTAATAACAACGTTTGTAAGTAAAGAAGATAACCCAAAGACTCAGGAAGACTTTCAATTTTTGTACCACATAAATTAATGTATCGCAGATGCTTCAAGTCTCCAATCTGATCAGAGAGCTTCGTTATCCAATAATTATGAAGAGATAACACCCTCAAACATTTTAGATTTTTCATCAAATCTTGCAAGAGTGTGTCAGATAAGTAGTAAAACCCAAAATTCTTCAACTGCAAGAATGTACGTAAATTCTTCTTTTTCTCTAGGAATTCAAATCTTTTTGACACTTCATATTTACGAGGAAATAATGACAAATGATGGGCTTTTTGAAGGCTCACATTTGATATTTTTCCATCTAATTCAAGGGTGCAACATGTTTCTCCAGCAACATGCAGGGCTAAATCAACTATGAGGTCATGCATCACAAACATTGACTCATCCCTACTGGATCGTTGAAAAAAAGCTCTCGATAGTAGATTACGGAAGCACTGATGCCCAAGGTCTTTTATTTGCTTTATTCTCTGTGGTTGTTGTTGCAAAAGTCCTTCAGCCATCCATAACAAAACTAATGTGACCTCATCAAATTCATAATCTTTAGGAAATATAGAGCAATAGCCAAAGCATCTCTTCAAATGAGAAGGAAGGTGATTATAGCTCAATCTCAAAGCTGGAAGAATGTCACTACTATCTTCTGGTAAATCCCATATCTTACTATGTAATATGTATTCCCACTCATGAAGATGTGGCTTACCACGCAAGAGGCCACTAAGGGTTTTTATAGCCAACGGCAATCTTTTGCACTTTTCAACAATTTTCTCACCTACTCCTTTTAGATTTGGGTATGCATCAAAGTTTTCCACTCCCAGTGCATGACGAGCAAATAATGATAAACATGCATCATTCTCTAGCAACTCTAAATTGTAAACTTTATCATTTCCCTTCATCATCTTCCCAATATCCTCGTCTCGAGTTGTGATGATTATTTTACTTCCAAATGCTCCTGACAAGAAAGGCCTCTGCAACTTATCCCACAAGTCATACTTTTTATTCCAAATGTCATCCAGTACAAGTAAAAACTTTTGGCCAGAGAACATCTCTTTCAATCTGCCTTGAAGTGAAGAAAGATCTTCTAAATCACACTTTTGCCCCGTTACTTGCTCCAAAATGGATCTTGTTATTCGAGAAACATTAAATTCCTCAGAAATACAAACCCATGCTTTTAATTCAAATATACCCTTCAATTTTTCATCATTATAAACAATCTGAGCAAGAGTGGTCTTGCCCAATCCTCCCATTCCAACAATGGGAAGAACAGAGTATGGCTCATCTTTGCTTTCATCAGTGAGCAACATCTTAAGAATAGCCTCTTTTTCATTTTCCCTACCATAGACATGATGTTCAGGTGAAGGAGTAGTGGGCAATCTTTCTGTATCAACTTTGCGAATCTTATTTCCAGTTCTCATGGTTGAACTGACCAAACCCAACTTATTTATGTTGGCCTCAATAATTTGCAATCTAGCAGTTATATCCTTCACCTTGGAAGCCATCTCTCGATCTCGATCAGCCATGAATCTTGGAACCTTATTAAACAATGTGGGACAGATCAGTTTCTGTGGCTTACTGGTGCTGGCTTTGGCTTTTGCAATCAACTCAGACCTCTTGGCATCAATCTCGACCTCTTCAAGCGTGTCCTCCATATCATATGCCAAATCCCTGAAATCAGCAAGCCATAACTTCATCACGTGGTTTGTTTCTGGATTTTCTTCGGCATCTTCAAGTAGGACACTGATTTTTGGCAAAAGACTACTCCAATTCTGCATCTCAGCACGAACGATCATTGGTAACTTCACCCATTCCATTACAGAAGAATTCAATTTCGAGAGCAACAACTCGAACGTTACCGATAAAAGAGCGGCGCCAACTTCCATTGTTGGACTTGGATCTCACAAACAGTGCTCTGCAAGAATAGCGAGACAAATCATTTGTATACATATCTTTAATTTATTTTGTTAACAAATTAATTAGCCTAATATTAATTTAAAATTTTCATCTTATATCTCTAAAGAAATGAAATCTAAAAATGTTTTTTTTTTTTTTTATTCTAGCACAAGATATATTAATAAACTGAAAACTGAGATTTCTAAAGAAATTAAACCAAGCAAACTTAAGTAATATGTAAAAAAAACCGGCAAAAGCCTAGTTTTAGCTTAGTCTTCACCTTAACTATGAAACTTTTAGTCATCATCTATGAAATTTTTAGTCCCTCACTTATTAGAATTTTAAAAAAAAAATCCTCACTTATGTCATTTTGTTAATTTTGGTAATTTTGTTAGTTGACTATCAACTTTATTAATTAACTATTAATTGATTATTAATGGACAAAAACATATTTTCACTTAATAAAATTAATAGTCAATTAATAAAATTATTTTGTTAACTAATTATTAATTCTATTAGTTGATTGTTAATTGACTGTTAACTAACAAAAACTTACTTTCAACTAATAGAATTAACAATCAATTAATTAATTAACAAAACTAATGAAATATTATAAAGTGATGGCTATTTTCTTCAATTCTAAGTGACGAG